TCTGTGAATTAATGAACAGAATGTCCTGTTCTTTATCTAGCACTTGTTCAGCTGTGTTTGTGTGTCTGGGGTCTCTGGCCGTGTCAAGCAGAAGGTTGGTCTCATAAGAGTCTATTTGCGATTATCAACTTGATTAAAGATGAGAATGTATTAGATCACATTTAATGGTGTTACAGTGCAAAGCTGCAAAGGCCAGCTATAGTGTGGGCTGGGATGGAACCATAACTACTATTAATATCTTTATGAATGTGATCACATGGACTACATAGGCATCTACCAAATCCTCATCACTGCATCAATAATCTACCATTTCAGACCGAACTTTGTCAATAACAAGGCGTTGTATATACATTTCTGAAAGTCATCTGAATCTAATTCTTTGCACAAATGTATTCCACTTTATCTATAGATGAGTAAGGGCGAATGGTGGAGGGGCGACCCAGACCGTAAATAGAATCATGAGACCTGAAGCATGTGATTCTTTTAGCGTTTCGGAGGCAAGTTCAATTTTCAAGCTACAGAACTGTTTTGGAGCAACGACAATATAATGTATTGTTAATAGTAGTTTTCTCTGCTGAGATCAGTAGATCAGGATGATTTGATTAGTGAAAAGGTCGTGAAATGTCATATTTTGTGCCTTTTCTTCCTTTGTTTATAATGCATTCATTTGTTTGATTATTTATTTATTTATTGCATTCCAAGTACAACACAAAGACATATAATTTGAGTATGCATGGTGGTACAAAACAGGAGGTAAAATGTCACATTTTAAAAGTCACATTTTTGTTCTTTTTCAACACTGTATAAGTTTGAACTTTCATCATTTTTGCCATCCTGTTACCAAATTTAGGGAACAATTGAATGCAATTTAAAACCCATTTATTTATTTATTTAATAAACATAAAACGAAATCAGCTTAAAGGTTCTAACAGGATAAAAATATTTAAAGGCAGAGTAAGTGATTTCTGGTAGCCAATGTTGATATTTGAAATCACCAAAACAAACACGCCCCTACCCCAAAAGGGTCTTGCCCCTATTTTGATAGCTCCGCCCCACACATACGTACGCAACCCAGGCAACGATTAGTTCTGTGAAACAAAGCAAAACCAATGTTACACCGTGTCTACGGACGTGAGCGGCGCAGCGCAACAAATCCC